CAGCACTAAGAGCCGCTCTGCAGCCGCTCGTGGGCCTGAACCCGATATACAAAACGCAAAGAGTGAACTCCGCAAGCGATTGCTTAACATTCATTAAGCGATGCCATAAACAGTCATCGGTAGCTTCTTTTCCCTTCCTCGATCCAACCTTCTGCTTGTGACTTCTGAACTAAGTGTATTGTTATATGTGCATCTGCAAAATTAATTATCCTGGTGTACGTTCTAACAGATGCTATATCGATTCGTATTTTCAATGATTCATCGCTTCATCTTGCGTTGAGAGTGTTGGGTGTGCTTGCAGTCTGTCAAAACCACAACATGGACGTATGATTTATTCTGATTGTGAACAGTGAGCTGACGGAAACGCCTGAGATGATTCATTCGACTATGCGGAATAACGAACTCACACGCGTCTCACTTTTCGTGCGGCCCAAATAGTCATAGAGGTCATCATGATTGCTCATTTTAACTCTTCATAAAACCCTTTTCATGCCAAACTGTAATAACCTAAGTTCATAGTGCAGAATACGTAGGCAGGTAAATTTAGAAAATGACAAACGTCTATCTAATTAAAGTGCTTTTAAGGAGGTAACCTATCATAGAAGTTTTTTTTTAATAATCTTAGGAAGTAAAACATCAGACTTATGTTGCGAACGTCGATTCGTTCCACAATGCCTTTTGCTTTTTAGGGGAGATTCTAAATATAGCCCAAGTGCTCATCTTCATAAGATCTCGTGTTTAAAATGAGTTTTTTTTTGGTGTGTACTACTAAGAGACTCAAGCATATGACTTCTATGTAAGCGAATCTATGAAAAAGTGGAAAAGGAGTTTGCGTTTTCCAAACACTCAGTATTAGATGCAAATTTATCCTTGTGTGTGAGGTTATAATTTTTGTGCGTCTGTTAAATCACACCCTTACCCACTCCCACAGCGCCGACACGCTGGTACACGTTGTCTAGATCACTCTAGCACTTCGGCCGGTTGATGTCTCAGTACAGGTCGCAAGCATCGCCCTGGCCTCCAGCCCGACCAACCACTGTCACACATGACAAACGATTCCGAAAATACCTGTGCTTTGCAGCCTCTCCTTAATTGTAGGGTCCACTCCACGATAGACAGAACTACTCCACTCTGGGTCTGGCAGGTAGCTGTGAGGGGCAGCTAACACTGTTTTCCCTCTACGCATGCTAGCCGCGCTAATTTCGCGTGTTTTCGCAGGAGGTCTTTTTCTACTCAATTTCCGTAAGGCCCTTGACCGAAATCATTGCATGCATACACGTGCGCACACAGACATGTGCAAACCAGTCGCGGGTTCCCAAAAACCACTTAAAAATGACAGCCGTTGGCCAACGTAGCAGGCATTTCATTAAACGACAAGCCCTCGGGCAAAGAAA